TCGCCCTAGGGCTGAGAGCGGCGGTCAATAAATGCAGTAAATAAATAAATAAATAAATAAATAAATAAATATCTATATAAATAAAAATGTAATGTTCGTTTGTGGGATTAACATAACTCAGAAACCACTGGGCAAATTGACACCAAATTTGAACACAATACACCAAACAATCCAACAAGTGTCCATCATTCATAAAAACACTGAAAAACACAGTGGAAGAGACTTAAAAAGTCAAAAATAAAAATTATATTACAACGCATGTGCAAAACCACATATATACATATATACACATACATACACACACAAAACACATACACAGACAGGGCCACATCAACGCGTGGCAGGGGATGGCTAGTGTGTGTGTGTATATATGTGTGTGTGTGTGTGTGTGTAATGTTCGTTTGTTATTAACATAACTGAAAAACCACTGGATGAATGGACACCCAATTTGGACACAATACACCTATCAGGACAACGAGTGACCATCACTCATAAAAATACTGAAAAACACAGCAGAAGAGACTTAAAAGCCAAAAAACCAAAATAATACATTACAACGCATGCGCAAAACCAAACACACACACACAAACACACATATATGCACACACAAAACACATAAACACAGACTGGGCCACAGCAACGCTTGGCAGGGGGTGCCTAGTTATATTATAAACTTGCACAACTCACTATTTTTGTTGTTGAAGACGGAGACGGAGACGGTGGTCTCCACATCTCGGAGCTCCAGGTCGGTCCTTTTCTTCCCTTTCCGCCAAAAGTCGAGCGCCACTTCGGTGATCTTCTCGGCTCCGGCATTGCTGCAAGACAGGAGGGAGGGAGGAAGGATGCAGGCGTTAAGAGGAGGCCGCTTGAAGAGACATCGCTTCCACACCACAGTTCGAGAAGCATGATTCCTGCCGCCTACCTGAGGAAGAGGAAGATGGCCTTCCGGTAGGAGACGCCGTCCAACTCGTCGTAATAGTCGAGGAAGGGCTTGATGGCGTCAATGAGCCCGGCGTGCATCTTGTCCATTTCGTCGAAGATGAAGACGGACCTCGCGCAGGCGCTCACGTTGCCCCGGATCCACATCTGCAACTGGTCCTGGAAAGGAGGTTTATTTCAAATCAGATCTGGGGTAGGTGAAGCCATCCACACTGCAGAATGAATGCGGTTTGACACTTAGTTGCACTGCCATAGCCTCTTCGGCATGAAAACGACAGGTCCCCTGATTCTATACCAAAGGAACATGGCCAGACAGCCAAGAAAACTCATAGTAACCCAATAATAATAATAATAATAATAATAATAATAATAATAATAATAATAATAATAATAATAATAATAAACAATTGGAAAAGCTGAGACGATATGAGGATTTAAGGATCGAACTGCAAAGACTCTGGCACAAGCCAGTCAAGGTAGTCCCAATGGTGATCGGCACACTGGGTGCAGTGCCTCAAGACCTGGGCCTGCACTTAATCACAACAACAATAATAATAATAATAATAATAATAATAATAATAATAATAAACAATTGGAAAAGCTGAGACAATATGAGGATTTAAGGATCAAACTGCAAAGACTCTGGCACAAGCCAGTCAAGGGGTCCCAGTGGTGATCGGCACACTGGGTGCAGTGCCTCAAGACCTGGGCCTGCACTTAAACACAATCGGTGCTGACAAAATTATCATCTGTCAGCTGCAAAAGGCCACCCAACTCGCATCTAGATGCATTATTCGCCGATACATCACACACTCCTAGACACTTCGGAAGCATCTGACGTGTGATCCAATTCAACAGCCAGCAGAGTGTCTGCTGTGGACTCTCGTTGTGTTTCAAGTAATAATAATAATAATAATAATTTTGGGAAGCGTCCAACGTGTGATCCAATTCAACAGCCAGCAGTGTCTGCTGTGGACTCTTGTTGTGTTTCAAATAATAATAATAATAATAATAATAATAATGGATTTTTATTGTTAGATGCTTTGTGTCTCCTTTGGGAGAGAAGAAGTGGGATGTAAATAATAATAATAATAATAATAATAATAATAATAATAATAATAATAATAATAATAATGTGTTTGCTGTGAGTTTTCCGGGCTGTCTGGCCATGTTCCAGAAGCATTCTCTCCTGACATTTTGCCCACACCTATGGCATTCATAATAATAATAATAATAATAATAATAATAATAATAATAATAATAATAATAATAAAAACTTTATTTGTACCCCGCTACCATCTCCCCAAGGGACTCGGTGCGGCTTACATGAGGCCGAGCCCACAATACAACAATAAACAATAGCAACAGTAATACAAAACAATAAACTCACAAGCAGAAAATAAGCAATAAACATTAACACATTTAAAAACCTATGGCTGGGCCAAATATAATAATTAAATAATTATTTTAATTTTATTTTAAAAAAAATAATCCTCAGAGGTTGTGAGGTCTGTTGGAAATTGGGGTTTATATATCTATGGAATGCTGTCCAGGGTGGGAGAAAGAACTCTTGTCTGTTGGAAGCAAGTGTGAATGTTGCAATTTGCCATCTTGAATAGTCTTGCAGCTTCAACGCCTGGCTGCTTCCTGCTTGGGGATCCTTTGTTGGGAGGTTTTAGCTGGTCCTGATTGTTTTCTGTCTGGCATTCCCCTATTTACTCTTGGTTTCACCTGATTATCATGAGTCACAGCTGCAGCTCGACTTCCCACCCTTTGAGCATTGTGTGGATTTCATTGCGTTGTAACGCACTTCCTTATTGGCGCAAAGAGCTTTGAGCTGCTATGGGTGCCGACGCTAAGCAGATGGGATAAGAATTTTTAGTAGATATAAACCAGACAGCAATTGAGACTTCCAGGCATCAAAGTCCAGCAACATCCAACAGGCCAAAGGTTCCTTATAAACAGTCTCAGGATTCGTTTCACATACAGAGCTAGAGTCTAAGTGGCTGACTATTTAGCAAATAAATCTAGAGAATTATGCAATAATAATAATAATAATAATAATAATATAATAAGCTGTTAGAAGACCCATCTCTTCCAGCAGGAGGCTGACCCACTCAACTTCCAATCATGAGATTTGATTCGCGTTCTATTGCTGCTATATGTTAATATTATACCTGTGTTTGGTGTATGTTTTTGTAATATATCTGTGTGTATTTATCTATGTATGTTATTGTTTGTACTTTTTATATGTTTTGGACTTTGTTGTACCCCGCCTCAAGCTGTCAGCAGAGGCAGGTAATAATTAAAATATTATTATCATTATTATTTTCATGATCACCATCATTATTATTATAGTTACAGTACAGGAATCAAATGCAACTTAAGATAAAAAAGCATACAATACTTATAGATTGTCATTTGTGTATTTTAATATATTTTAAAAAATTTAATTGTTGTTATTATTATTATTACTCTTAATACTGTTAACACTCTTGTTATTATTATTATAAATGGGAAGGAGTGACTGCCCTTTGTATGGCACCAACAAAAATGCAGATAACGTTGTTGTTGTTGTAATTATAAATGTAAAGGCACTGAACCAACTGCAGACTTTGTTATTATTATTATTACTAAACGTGAAGGTAATTATTATTACTAATCTTTTCTCCTGCTTATGTCATGGGCCAGAGTGAAGAGAGAGGGGGACAGAAGACAGTTCTATTTTGTTCGCTATGGTTCACTAATAATATATTATAATATATTGTATAAACATATAATATTTATAATATTATAATGTCATACAATATGATTCTAACAATACTAATATAATATTTTATTATATATTTTATATTACACATAATATTACTAATAATGTTACTATATAATGGAATTGTACAATGTAGTAATATAAAATACTGATATTGTATTATGCTAATGATTTAATATAATGTGTGTGTGTATATATATATCTATATATCTATATATATCTCTTGTAAGCCGCTCTGAGTCCCCTTCAGGGTGAGAAGGGTGGCATATAAATGTAGTAAATAAATAAATATGGGACAACTGTCCTGTGTGCCATTGAGGAAACTACACATTATTGTTATTGTTATTGTTGTTGTTGTTGTTGTTATAAATGGGAAGGGATGGCTGTCCTCTGTGTGCCACTGAGGCAATATCAGACTTTCCTGAACATAGTTTGGACAAAAACCCCCACCAGCTCTAAAGAATGATGCCCAGATCGTTGACTCTGTGTTTCACCTTGTACTGGGTGAGGTTCTGCAGGTGAGGGAAATGCAAGGTGGAGATGAACTGGTGGACATATTTGCTGTTGAGGCCCTCTTTGTAGAGGCTCTCAGCCAGGATTTTGCTGGCAAAGTTCTTCCCGGTCCCGGTCCAGCCGTGCAAGGAAAGCGTCAAGGGCTTCTTGGGGTTGGAGTTGTTCAGGAACCCTGTCACGGCCTTCACTATCACCTTCCTGGCCAAATGCTGCCCAAAGAGCTTCTTGTCCAAATTCTCCTGTAGCACTGCAGACGGGGAGAGAAAAAGACACACCAATCAGCTTTTTTTTTAAAAAAAAAAATCTTTATTGAGCGTTTTTAGATACATAAAAAGTGGTGGAACAATTGGGTAGGGATAGGAAAGTGAGATCAGCTTGACAGGAACAGAAATCCTCAACAAATGAATACACATAGTTATATGTTACGTTAATATTGACTGTTATCATTACTGTCATAATCACAATGATATACACCATGACAATGACAATTTATTTATTTATTTGCGACATTTATATGCTGCCCTTCTCACCCACGAAGGGGACTCAAGAGCGGCTTACAAGTAATATGTAAATACAATATATTATATTATATTATATTATTTATTTATTTACTGCATTTATTGACCGCCGCTCTCAGCCCTAGGGCGACTTGCGGCGGTGCACAACATATAAAAACAGTTTACAAAAAGGGCAAAACAGGGAATCAATACAATAATAATACACTATAATCTAGTTACACTAAATAATCCGCTCCGTCACATCATAGAATCATAACCAATATCGTAATCCGTATTCCGTTCCAGTTGTCAATTACCAGTTGCCGTAGCGCTCAGTTGAATGCCTTCTCAAATAGCCAGGTCTTCAGGCTCTTTCGGAAGGACAGAAGGGAAGGCGCCTGTCTGATGTCAGCAGGGAGGTCGTTCCACAGCCGGGGGGCCACCACCGAGAAGGCCCTTTCTCTTGTCCCCACCAGACGTGCCTGTGAAGCAGGCGGGATCGAGAGAAGGGCCTCCCCAGACGATCTCAAGGTCCTCGTGGGCTCATAGGCCAAGATGCGGTCCGAAAGGTATTATATCATTACCATTGCACAATATTAGTATTATATATTACTATATTGTACTATACCATTAGACTGTAATATTATTAGTAATATTACATGTAATATAAACTATATAATAATAATAATAATAATAATGGTAAAGGTTTCCCCTGACATTAAGTCCAGTCGCTATTATTATTATTGTCATTATTGTGCATACATATTTTATTTTTATATTGTACCACATTATAATGCTTCTCAAGCTCGGCTGGCGGGGATGAGAGATAGGGCCTTCTCGGTGGTGGCTCCTCGGCTGTGGAACGCCCTTCCTACGGACATTAGACTAGCACCATCTCTAATGGTATTCCGCAAAAAAGTGAAGACCTGGCTGTTTGAGCAGGTGTTCCAATAATTAGTGCAATGATTGGTTAACGAACACTGGAATGGAACAATGGATGACGAATCTGGAACATGTTTTTGATGACGAGACGACAGTGAATGGGTATTGTAGTAACTGTTTATTAATTGTGTAATGTGTTAGGTTGTTAACTGTTTCTATACTGTAGCACTGAATTTTTGCTGTTCGTATTTGTTGTGAACCGCTGTGAGTCGCCTTCGGGCTGAGATCAGCTGTATATAAGTAAGGTAAATAAATAAATAAATAAATAAATAATATTATAAATATATGTATTTACAATAATGATAATATAACAATATAACATATACTAAGGAAAAATAATAGCATTATTATTATTATTATCATTATATTGTACCCCATTATAATATTACCAATCTTTGAAATATAATATTATAATATTATCTATCTTTGAAAGGCAGCAGATCACAGGAGCTGTCTTCATAGACTTGTCAGCAGCCTATGAGACTGTGAACCACCG